TTGTGTATTTAGAAATGAGAGAGAATACGAATGATTTATTTTGCCCTTCGTACTTAGAAGCAGTTGATGATCAGCTGAATGCAGTGGCTCATGCCTGTAATCCCAGCACTTTGGGAGGCCAAGGCGAGTGGCTGACCTGAGGTCACGAGTTCAAGACCAGGCTGGCCAATGTGTTGAAACCCCATCTCTACTAAAAATACAAAAATTAGCTGGGTGTGGTGGCAGACACTTGTAATTCCAGATTCTGGGGAGGCTGAGGCAGGAAAATTGCTTGAACCCAAGAGGCGGAGGTTGCAGTGAGCTGAGATAGTGCCATTGCACTCCAGGCTGGGCAACAAGAGCGAAACACTGTCTCAAAAAAAAAAAAAAAAAAAAAAAAAAGAAGCAATTGATGATCAAGTAGGATCCACCTAGTCACCTGGTATATGCATGGGCAGTGGGGGAGGCAGAGACAGGGTCTCACTCTGTTGCTGACACTGGAGTGCAATGGCACGATTATGACTCGCTGCAGCCTCAACTTCCTTGCCTCAAAGGTTTTATTTTTGAGGTATAAATCAGGTAATAATGTTTTCAATTGTAGGTTTAAACAAGAATTTCGAGCAGTTTCTCAGCCACATGTTAAAGCCACTTGGAGAGACTTCTGAAAATCCTTGGAGATTTCTATGTCATTGATCTGGGGTGCTGCCTAAGCAATAGTTTTGTGCTTGTTGTTTATATTTTCTTTTGTTTTTGGAAACAGTCTTGAACTTACAGAGTTTGAATCTGTATGATTTTTAAAAAGCCTTTTTCCCCCGAGTCATTTGAGAATTAACTGCTGATCCAATGCTCCATCACCTGTAGCCTTTTCACCAATAGTATAGTATATTTCTAACAAAAAGAACCTTCTGGGGTAGAACCACAATATAATCATCAAAGGAAAAAATTAGCACACTGATAATTACTACCACTTCAGCTGCATTCGAGGTGTGACATTTGCCACACACTGCATTTGGTTGTTATGTCTTTTCATTCTCCTTTCATTTGGAACAGTACCTCAGTCCTTCCTTGACTATCATGGCCTTAAAACTTTTGAAGATTGCGCCAGTTATTTTGTACAATGCCTCTGAATGCGGAGTTGTCTGATGGTTCCTTTCATTTAAAAGGGGTATCACAGAATTGATGCCGTGGTCTTCTTACCTATCGTGTAACTCACAGTTTAAATTTGTCCCATTGTTGATGATGTTCACATGGATTACTTGATTAAGGTGGTATCTTGACAGGCTTCTCCTTTACATAATTACCTTTTCAACCCTTTATGACAAGTATTTTATGGAGAGATGCTTTGAAACTATGTTACTATTCCATTCCTAATCATTTCAATTTATTCATTTTCTTATTTCTGTATGAACTTGTGTTTTCCTATTTTCTACAATGGCTTATAGTCTCTTACTATAATTATTTATTTTGATGCTGATGTTGTTCGAAGTTTAGCTTGTAGAGCACTTCACACTGTCTTTTGTGGTCATTAGACGGATCCCATCACACTTGGAGCACTCCTTTGCTTCTTGGCAAACGTACATTCCAAGTTCATCTTGTACTTCCCTTATCCTACCCTGAGAATTAGCTCTTTTTCTAGAGAACTGTGGTTTATTTAGTGAAGAATGGTATTTAGAAGCCACAAAAGAGGGTGCTAAGTATGTTCATTATTATTTGCGTGTTGCTTGTTCTCTAGCCCTCAGGGTGACAGAGCTAAGGGAATAAGACTGTGTACCTGTGTGTAGGAATATATACTCACATATGTACACTAAGTTACAGCTAATATTTATTATGTCTATATGTATTGAAAACTATGAGTTCATGCCAGTAATTTAGATCCAACCCCGCAGAGTTCATTTGAGTTTTCTCCCTTTTCTTCCATTTGTGTAACTTACTTTCTCGACAGTGAGGAACCTGGGTGTCATTATTCTTAATATACTTAAATAGTCCATCAGTCTCCTGTATGTAACCCATCTCCATCACCACCACCACCACCACAAATGGTGGTGTAGATGTAGACTCCCATTGCTCTCTGCTTGGACTGTGATTTAGAATAGGGATTTTTGTAAAGCTCCTCAAATGGTGCTAATATGCAGCCTAGATAGAGCGCACAACTGAATTAGAAGAAAGATGAAACCCACACTATTTGATTTATTATAAAGCAAATGGCAGGTTTTTAAGCCAGGTTTGGCAAAGTAGATTCTTCCTAAGGAAGTGAAATTTAAAGAGAAGACTCAATCCTACCAAGATGAATGATTTAAAAAAAAAAAAAAAAAAAAAAAAATGGGATGAAAGTATAGCCTGTCTCCTGGAAAGCTTTGAAATGTATTTGTTGTAGAAATGAATTTACTTCTGTTGAGCATGAATTTCAATCTGTTTCCCTGAATTGCCTGTTTATAAGGAAAATATTTGAAAATGTTAGTTTGTTTTTGAAGAATGTGTTTCACTGAAACTTATTCCATTTTGTTTTATTTTATTTTGAGACAGAGTATTGCTCTTGTTGCCAAGGCTGGAGTGCAGTGGTGTGATCTCGGTTCACTGCAAACTCTGCCTCCCAGGTTCAAGCAATTCTTTTACCTCAGCCTCCTGAATAACTGCGATTACAGGCACCTAACACTATGCCCAGCTAATTTTTGTGTTTTTAATAGAGATGGGGTTTCACCATGTTGGCCAGGCTGGTCTCAAACTCCTGACCTCAGGTGATCCACCCCCCTTGGCCTCCCAAAATGCTGGGATTACAGGTGTGAGTCACTGTACCCACCCAACGTTGCATTTTTAAAAATAAACTTTTAATTTTAGAACAATTTTAGATTTAGAAAAAAAAAATGACAACCTAAAACTTTTTTATTTGTAAATAAATCTTTAAACAGGAAAATTTAGGCTATTGTTGCTCCTTTTTTTTTTTTTTTGAGACAGAGTTTCGCTCTTGTTACCCAGGCTGGAGTGCAACCCGCAACCTCTGCCTCCTGGGTTCAGGCAATTCTGCCTCAGCCTCCTGAGTAGTTGGGATTACAGGCACACGCCACCATGCCCAGCTGATCTTTTGTATTTTTAGTTTCACCATGTTGCTCCTTTTCTATAATGGGTTTCACTGTAAAATGTGGAAGCAAATTACAGCAGCTTGGGCACAAGGAACCCCATCCACTCCTTCCACTTGCAGCCCGAGGAAGCAAAACATTTAGAGCCAAAAAGAACAGGATCTGTGGCCAGCCTACCTGAGATGGTCAACATCCATCTTAACAGTTTTCGTAAATCCATTTTCTTAAAGGAGGGCACCTGCTGCTGCAGGTCGATGTTCTCCACGTGTTTCACGCCTAGACAGAGGCACACAATCTGACTCCAAAGAAATCCAGCCTTAAGGAAATTTCAGTAAAATTTTGTCCTTGGTTGCATGGAGTTTGCATGTTAGGCTTTTATATCTTTATACCCAGAGGTGCAGGAGAAAGGCTAGTATCTGAATGTGGACAGAGTGACAACATGTAGGTAAAATAATTTTTTAAGTCTTTTTTCTATAAATAAAGCATTATTATGTATTCACAAGAATCCCCCTCAGTTTTCATCCATGGTTCTTTTTGTATAGTTTCAGTATGTTAAACTAGATCTCTGCTTCCCAAACTTGAGTCCTTTAGGAAGCATCTTAACCTGTTACTCACTTAACCTTTAATTTGACTCGCTTGTAACTCGGCCTTATTCTAGGTGGTATCTGTGAAATCATGGGTTTGTTATCTGTTCAGTATTTGTGAGGACCTGGGAACTAGATCTTTTAACTCTCCTAGCAATGAAATTACATATGCACAGAGTCTGGGGTTTCCCACTGTGAGCTTTGAAGTTAAGGCAAGGCGGTTGGTTGAGTGTATGGCTTTTCCCAGTTGATACATAGAGTGAAAATTGACAGCATTCCAATAAATGTTACTTTTCAAGTATGTGCTGTGAATTATATTCTCTTAATTTCCTAAGATTCAGAATATCTCTCTAACTAGAATGTTTATGATTGTATGTCATTTTTATTCGAATTCACTGGAGCAAAACCTGATTAGTTCAGTTCATGTGTACAGGAAAATGTAGTAGTGAATTCAACCAATAGAGAATATGTTTGTTTGTTTGTTTGTTTGTTTTTAAGGCTGAGTTTGGCCCTGTTGCCTGGGCTCGAGTGCAGCATCGCTAGCTCAGCTCACTGTAGTCTCTGCCTCCTGGGTTCCAGTGATTCTCCTGCCTTAGCCCCCAAAGTAACTGGGACTACAGGAGTGTGCCACTACACCTGGCTAATTTTTATATATTTAATAGAGATGGGGTTTCACTATGTTTGACCAGGCTGGTCTCAAACTCCTGACCTCAAACGATCTGCCTGCCTTGACCTCCCAGAGTGCTGGGATTACAGGCGTAAGTCACCATGCTGGGCCTAGAATACACTGATTTATAGGACTCTCAGTGTCGGCCTTAAAAACACAAGTAGAAAATATATAAAACATATAGTATTAATAAATACAGAGAAAAAGTTTAGAATATAGAACATAGAGCTTTATGTTCACCACTGTGAAGATGTCATGGGAAAACACCTAACTTAGGATAAATACGTATGTCCCATAATTGAGTTAATATATTCTGCATTATCTGTGAGGAACACTGCTCAGAAGCCATCTGGATATTGTCATATTCAAATCAGGTCCTTTGCTGAGTGGAAATACATTCATTAATCGTGTGTGTGTGTGTGTGTGTGTGTGTTTCTTTTAGGTAGGTATTATAAAAGCTCACCTTAATAGCTTCTTTGAAACTAAACTTAATGTCACGTTTTGCAAAAGGGGTGACAAACCAAGTTGTGGGAATAATTAAATGTGAGTTTTATGCATCTTTTTGGTTTAAATGAAATACTGTGTTCTACCCAGGTGAAATGCCGTGTTGCACACTGTTTACAAGCATTTACTTTGCTACAGAAATGAGTTGTGACTGTAGATGTATAACCTTCTGCTATGATGTTACTTTAACAGAGAGAAGGAGCAAGAAAGGGAAGAACAGTTAATGGAAGACAAGAAAAGGAAGAAAGAGGATAAAAAGAAAAAAGAAGCCACTCAGAAGGTGAGTTTCATTAATTAAGTCTGTCTGTCTATCTGCTAGGCATCCAGAATAAGAAATTGTCTTGGCTTGAATACCCAGTATCTCAATAATGGTACTTGAGACGTTAGTTTACTTAAAAGTTTTTATATTTAGAAGCAGGAGAAAGTTCAAGGTCTGCATTTGTTACCATAAAGTAGAGGTTAAATAATGCTGTGGCTGATTTATTGAAAACAACAGTAAACAGTATTGAGAAAGGCAAGAGAGTTTTCAGATTCTCAACTCTTGTTGTATTTCCTTATTTGTATATTAATTTAATCTACATTTTCTTAAGCAAGCCTACAGAAAAACTTTTAAAAACTGGCTGGAGGTTGCTCCAGCGTTCTTTCAGTTCATCCATTGTGCTGTTGTCTAGATGAGTCTACCTTTGGAGAATTCCATACAGAAACCCTGTTGGAAAGGATCTAGTGAGCCCCTGTAGTGCTTTGGAGGATAAGGCATTGCATGGCTTTGAGGAATTGCTTAGAGAAAACAGAAGAGATGCTAAAGGTAAAAGGCAGAGGGCTGATGGCTGTCTCCTGTAAGGTCTCAGGTGAGCGGTTTGTCCAGCAGACTTGTCCAAGGCAGAGTGGCTAGAATGTGCCTGCCCTCCCCGTTGGCTTCAGAGCGTGCCCGTCTGCCCTGGCCATTGTCTGATCTGACCTGCTTCCCACACCTTACCATTCTTTTTGCATCTCTTAACTTGGGCTCTGGCTCAGCAGGGGTTTCTTTAGTGCTTTTTTTTTTTTTTTTTTGAGGCAAGGTGATTTTCCGCCAGTTATTGTCACCACTGTGTGAAGCATTTGGGAAGCAGGACCTACTGTGGGATAGGTTGGGGGTCCCTACTATTGAAGCTAAGTTTAAGGAGGAAGCAACTGTGACAAGGTTCAGAGGAAACTCTAGATTTATAACAGAGTCAAGGCAATCAAACACAAGCCACTGCACGTTTTTTCCAGCATTATTGGATATAGCATTTCTCATAATTCAGCTTTTTGAATTGCTGAAATAATCATGTGTTAGTATAAGCATAAGAAAAATCCTGAAAATATTTTCTGAATCGAATAGCGTATGTCCCTGCTGTGTTCAATGTATGAAATGTAATTTTATCTTTACTTCATAACTTAACTAAAAGGAACATTCATTATTATTTGATCCTGTAATAGACTGCTGTGCTCTTTAAGATTTTGTCTGCTTTTAATTGTATTTGTTTATCTATTAATAATGGTAGATTCTCCATCACATCTTCGTGCTGTAAGGGTATCTGCTTCAAATATGTTGCTTCTCATCTGAGTTTGTTAGAATTGCCTAAAATTCTGGAGTGAAAAGTGTGAATAAAGAAGCCAGATTGCTTGGTGCCATGGCTCATGCCTGTAATCGCAACACTTTGGGAGGCCAAGGCAGGCAGATCACTTGAGTCCAGGAGTTCGACACCAGCCTTGCCAACATGAAAACCCCATCTCTACCAAAAAAACACAAAAAAATTAGCTGGATGTGGTGGTGCACACCTGTGGTCCCAGCTACTTGGGAAGCTGAGGTGGGAGGATCACTTGAGCCCAGGAGGTGGAGGTTGCAATTAGAGAGTGATATCTTGTGTTCCCTCTCCCCACTGCCAAGAAAACCATAGAAGTCAGATAACAGCCCAGAGCCTTTTTTGTACTTGCCTGTGGGTCCATGGCAACATGCCCTGTTACTGAGGTTGCAATATACAGGTCCACCAGCCATGGGGTGTTCGTATCATTGCCCCTGTGGCTTCTGAGCTCTTGTCCCTGTGCCTCACACATATTGCACCCTCCATCTCCAACTGGAGTGATGTGAGATTAAACCTCAGTGAAAGTTTTCTTTCCTTGGGACACTCACACATTTTATCTACTAAGTTGGTACAAAAATCACATTTTGCAGTCTGTGAAAATGGGTGGTTAATAGACTGGGCACCAAGGAACTTGAGCAAAGGCTGTCAAAAAGAGGGTGCCAGAGAGTGATCTAGAGAGTATATATTCCTTCTTCGTTTTTAACATACATAGCAGTGTTTTCTTAAACTACAAATATCAGTATCTAAAATGATTAATAAAATATGCATCTGTAAACTTTAATTGGATTCCACAGAGAAAAATGATTTAAAATAAAGATGGTGTGAATGTACTTGAGAGTGAATGAGATTATTTTTGCAGAGAATTTAGTTTATGTAGCTGGAAAGTCTCTCCTGTGTGCTTGCATCTGCATTAAGAACCAATTAAGAAGTGATGGCAAAGGGGAAAATCACTGTAAATAAAATTTTGAACTGATAAATTATGAACAGCAAAAATTCTATCATTCTTGCTCAAATATGTTATTGATCAGCTTGACACAGGATGTAGGCTGACATAGGCTGATGCATGGCCTTTGATCTTGTTTTATTATACTGAACCATTGCATAATTTCAGAATTAAATTCTGATTTAGCAGTTTTAAGGAGAGCACAAAGCTTACCATGTGATTATCTTCATGGTTTCCAACCTTTTTGTAGAGACAACGCCTCAACTAGGAGCCATAAAATGTGCTATGATGCAAAGAATTGTAGAGAACGTGCCAGAGGTCTGTCATGTGGTCAATGGTTCATTCAGTCCGCAAACATTTGTGGTGCCTCTTCTAAGGGCTTCCACATCTTTCGTGCTGCTTTCCCCAGGGCTTTATAATCATCTCTTTGTGTCCATCTTCACTGTTAGACCGACTGTAAGTTTCTTGGTTTTATTTGTATTTGTATTGGCAGTAACTAGGGCAGTGCCTGGTGCAGAATAATCACTCAGAAATTATTTAATAAGTGAATGGTCAAGAATGAAGGTGGAAACGTAATTTTCTTAAAGAATTTACCTGTATTTAAAGCTGAAACTAAATTACTTCCACACAAATTAAGCATGAACTTTTTCCAGTGTTCAATGGTTATGGCAGTTGGCTCTTCCAAGAGCCATTGCTGAGTAAACTGTTAGATATCCATCCATTCATGAGAGAGGTGTCAAAGAAGGATTTCGTTCACATTCATTTAGGCTGATGCTGCTAAAGGAGGATTGTTTCGTGTTGGCAGAACACATGCTTTGATCATCCAGCTTTTCACCATCTGGGGGGACAGCTCTTAACAGAACCCACATTATAAAACATATCTGACATTATTTGGGTTTGTTGCTTACAGCAGGAAGGCACTGACTTCCTGTATAACTGATCTTCAGAGTGGCATTCTAAGCAATATTTGCAATGGCATTAAACCTAAATTGCCTTCAGGAATTGGTATGTGGCCACACGTCATTCATTCTTGGATAAGTAGTTATACAGAAAAATTATACAAGAGTATTTTCAGTAGAATTGAGCTCTGTAACAATTATTCATTTTAAGACACTGGGTTTCACAAATTCACTGTGATAGAATTAGCTTGTCATTTAACACAGAAATGTAGGAAACACCAGGAAGTTCTACAGGCAGGTCTTTGAACTCATATTTAGAATCTTTCAGTGTGCTGGGATCCATGGGAAGTAGGCTGGTCAGCTATAGGAGCTTCCTTCGAAAGATGATCGTGTTTCCATGAACCCCCATGGATGTAATCCATTATGATTACTAGCTATGATTTATTAAACTTCTTTGCTATATGAATATTTTTATTACAAAACTCAGATAATCAATATAAAAATGCTTTAGAAGATTAACAGTTGGGAAATGGGTCAGAATCACCCATGATCTCGATAACTTAATGTAACCACTGTTGGAAAGACGGCATAGTTTGTATGTTTTGCTTGGGCATCACCTTTGTGGTTTTGTTGTTATAAATTAGATGCCCTTTTTTATTTTCCCCTGTTAAAAATATCAGAAGCTGTTTTCCATAAGGCTCCTAATTACCATGTCCAAACTCTCTAAAGTCCATTACTATAGTCAGCCTGTCCAGCCTTCTAGGTTAATCATTTCCATAGATGTGTTAGTTACTATACAAAGAAATGCTTTTTTTTTTTAACAGAGCACCCTTGATTTGTCCAAAATTTACATATTTCAATGTTACTGATACACTTCATGGTATTTTATATAAGCATTGATACTAACAGCAAATATTTATTGAGCACTGCATAGAATATCTGATTTAATCCTTATAGCAGTCCTTTGCAAGGATATACTGTTATTACCTCCATTCAGTAGATAATAGAAAACTGGGGATCACATAGCTAGAAAGTGACAAGGCTTGGTTTTGAATCCTGCTTTCCGACCATGATGTCTGATGCCTCTAATGCTTGAGTTTGATGCCTAATGTCTGATGCCTGAGTCCCTGAGGTTTTGCTTTTTAGATTTGAGATCAGGTGTTTGTGCCTATATTCTTAGGGGAATCTTTTTGTGTCTATGGCTAATTTAGCTTCTGGACCACATTCATGTGATTTTTCTCTAGTCATAGCAATCAAAATGCAAATAGCATTCTCAGTACAGGGACCTTATCATATAATGAGAGGAATGCTTTTTTTTTTTTAAGTTTTACTTACTGTTTTTCCTAATGGTGGTCATGTAAATTATAACTGGACATAAGGCTAGTCTTTGGAAGGATGTCTGAATTGACTTCCAGCTCCTTTTTCTGGATTTCAGCTATGCCTGTGTATCTGTCTGACAGCTTGAATTGCTTGAGTTATGAGAATTAAAGTAGTCTGAAAATATAGTACTGAATTAAAAAGCAATTCTCATTTACTTTTATTTGTTTATTTTGCAGGTCACGGAACAAAAAACCAAAGGTAAGACTTTTTTTTCTTTTTAAATTATTTAGAACCTTTTGTGTTTAGCTTTTACACTGTTGCTGACTCAGCCTCCAATCCACTAAATAGAGAGTGAGCGTAGAGTAATTATTGTGGGTTGTTTGCAGTCACTGAAGAGCAGTCATGACAAATTGAAAATACTTGTATTAGTGTTTCTAGTTGGCCTTAAATTTTCTAGGAGGCAAAAGAGTAAATACCTTGTTTGTTTTTTTTTTTTTTTGAGACGGAGTTTCGCTCTTGTTACCCAGGCTGGAGTGCAATGGCGCGATCTCGGCTCACCGCAACCTCCACCTCCTGTGTTCAGGCAATTCTCCTGCCTTAGCCTCCTGAGTAGCTGGGACTACAGGCACGCGCCACCATGCCCAGCTAATTTTTTGTATTTTTAGTAGAGACGGGGTTTCACCATGTTGACCAGGATGATCTCTATCTCTTGACCATGTGATCCACCCGCCTCGGCCTCCCAAAGTGCTGGGATTACAGGCTTGAGCCACCGCGCCCAGCCCAATACCTTGTTTTAAAAAGTATATGGGTCATGGCTGGGCACAGTGGTTCACACCTTTAATCCCAGCACTTTGGGAGGCTGTATCACTTGAGGTCAGGAGTTTTAGACCAACCTGGCCAAACTGATGACACCTCATCTCTACCAAAAATAAAAGATTAGCCAGGCATGGTGGCTCATGCCTGTAATCCCAGTTCCTTGGGAGGCTGAGGCATGAGAATTGCTTGAAGCCGGGAGGCAGAGGTCGCAGTGAGCAGAAATCATGCCACTGCACTCCAGCCTAGGTGACGGAGTAAGACTCCATCTCAAAAAAAAAAAAAAGTATGTGGGTCATGATTTTGAATTGAACCTTTTCAAAACTTTTTTTTTTTTTTTTTATAATAGTAGCGAAAAACAAACACCAGCTTTTAATTTACACATGGGAATTGCAACGGTTTGTCAACCACCTTGACCCATGGCATGCATTGAGTCTGATAATGGAATATTGCACCTAGGATGTTTACTCTGCCTTCTGACCTAGAACTTGGAATATGCTTTTTTTTTTTTTTTTTGAGACAGAGTTTCACTCTTGTTACCCAGGCTGGAGTGCAATGGCACGATCTCGGCTCACCGCAACCTCCGCCTCCTGGGTTCAGGCAATTCTCCTGCATCAGCCTCCTATGTAGCTGGGATTACAGGCATGCGCCACCATGCCCAGCTAATTTTTTGTATTTTTAGTAGAGACGGGGTTTCACCTTGTTGACCAGGATGGTCTCGATCTCTTGACCTTGTGATTCACCCACCTCGGCCTCCCAAAGTCCTGGGATTACAGGCTTGAGCCACCGCGCCCGGCCGGAATATGCTTTTTTAAATGATAATACATTTTGAGTCGCTTAACTGTTAAAAAATAGTGACTTGTAAACTGATGCAGGTGCCCCTCGGGTCGTTCTCAACCTAATAGTTCATGTTATTTTGGCTTCTTGCTCTCCTATTAATTTTAATCATGTAGTTTTGTCTGGTGATTGTCACACTTTTGCTCATTTCCCCTTCAGAATGAGAGAGTTAATTCTTCGAAATTGCTCCTTTCCTTGGCCACCTAAATATGTGTTTCTCAGTTAGATATGCATAACAATCATTTGCATAAAATTGTCAAAATACACAGTCCCAGACCATGGCCCTAGCAGATGTATTTTGAAAAGCTCTGCAGGTGACCCCAGTACATGTCCCTGGTTGAGAATCACTGCCTTGGATGAAGGGAATTAGATGTGACTATGATGACTTGGAGAAGGATAAGGGTGATGGAGGGGTCAAGGCTTGATGGGAGGCCCTGTAATGATTAGTTTCTTCATTGTTTTGTTTTGTTTTGTTTTACTGGACTACCAAGCCAAAGCCTGTCACACAGCGATGAAAGAGTAGTAAGAGAGTGCTAATCTGTTAGGAAATTTAGTTATGGAAAATAAATTCTCAGATAATTAGGCATTACTATAATAAATTTCTAACCAAAAGACATTTCAAAGGAGAATGTAGTCTGGGAGTTTGTAGTGATGTATTAAAAAAAAAAAAAAAAAAAAAACCATAATTATTAGTTACAATTAATTGCTTACAGAGAATAGCATTCTGCCCTTGTACATTTCCTCAGTTTCAGCCCAGAAGTAGGCTTTATTATGGAAGGATCTTTGTAAATTACTTGCTTGAAATATAAATGATACTTTACCATAGAAATAGTGTTATCCATAATAGTACAGCATACTTTCTAGAAAAGGATTTGAGCACTTAAGTATTGATATTTTTAGGACTTTTTGACGATATATGGGGACAATGGATGAGAAAATTGGCATTTTCCTGGACAGGACCCTGGTTTCTGGAATGTGGTAGTTGGGTTCCTAGGCCTGGCCACAAGACTGATGCTTACAGAGTCAAGTGTTAGTTGTTCTGTAGAACTGAGCTAAGTGATGTTGGGGAACAGAAAACCTGTTAGGCATCTTTTCTTGCAGAAAAAAATTTGGTAGGGACACCAAACCTCTTCCTAAACACGTTCTTCTTTCTTCTGCCAGTCTTAAAAATCAAACTTTTTACTCACCACCAATTTTTTTTTTTTTCCAGTTGAGGACTTTCTCATACCTACTGTGTAATGGAATACAACTTCGCAGTCTCCCTGCTCTCCCTACCTCCCATCCCTCCAGTCAAAAAATAATGTAAAATAATCCCAAGGGGGAGATGAGAGGCCATCTCAGTCTCCTAAGGGATTTAATCATTAGATAGCAAGTAAAAAATACCAGTTATCCCTGTGGTATATTAGACTGTAAACAGAGGGAGGCCCACCTTTCTAGTGTTGAGTCCAGGTTTACCGTCACACCTTCATCTTTATTCCCGAGACCCAACCTTGGTACTCTAAATCTCCTTCTTCTCTTAGCTCAGCTGAACATGACTGGGGGACATGTTCTTTTCCCGAAGATGGTGTCTTCCTCAGGCAACCTCCCCTTCGCTCTGAATCTACCTATCTTTCTGCAATAGGTGCTAGAAGCACAAAGACAAGACTGTTGGTACCAAGTCCCTGGTTGTGTAGAGGACTGAAGTGAGATTTTTCTGTATTTTAGAGTAATAGTATATTAATTGTATATTCTTCCTGTATTGTCCACCATTTAAAAAAAAAATGTGAGAGCCAGACACGGTGGTTCACACCTGTAATCCTAGTACTTTGCGAGGCCAAGGCGGGTGGATCATGAGGTAATGAGTTCGAGACCAGACTCAAACCAACAAGGTGAAACCCCGTCTCTACTAAAAATACAAAAAAAAGTCGGCCAGGCGCTGTGGCTCACGCCTGTAATCCCAGCACTTTGGGAGACCGAGGCGGGTGGATCATGAGGTCAAGAGATCGAGACCATCCTGGTCAACATGGTGAAACCCTGTCTCTACTAAAAATACAAAAAATTAGCTGGGCATAGTGGCGCGTGCCTGTAATCCCAGCTACTCAGGAGGCTGAGGCAGAAGAATTGCCTGAACCCAGGAGGCAGAGGTTTTGGTGAGCCGAGATCGTGCCATTGCACTCCAGCCTGGGTAACGAGCGAAACTCCATCTCAAAAAAAAAAAAAAAAAAAATAGTTGGGCATGGTGGCACGCACCTGTAATCCCAGCTACTCAGGAAGCTGAGGCAGGAGACTCGCTTGAACCCCAGAGACGGAGTTTGCAGTGAGCCAAGATCCCAGCCTGGGAAACGGAGCAGGATGCCATCTCAAAAAAAAAAAAAGAAAGAAAGTGAGAATTCTCAGAAGAGTAGGACAGATTTCAAGTGGAGGTTATGAGAAAACATAGCTAGAGCTAGCTTGCTACCCAGGTATCAAATAATAGAAAGCACTTAAGGTAGGAGCTAATATCTACCTTCATTAGATTTTAGAGTAGAATTGAAAGAGGGATTGATGTAATCGTTCAGCTTTAACAGGGATGAAGTTTAGGATTAAGTTTAGGTTTTAAAAGCCCAATTGCATAAACTATATAATGGAAGAGGTTGGACATAGAAATTTATCCTTGTTAAAAAGAAGTTAGGGACTAGGCACCATAACTCAGACCTGTAATCCCAGCTACTCAGGAGGCTGAGACAGGAGGATTGCCTGAGCCCAGTAATTCAAGGCTGAAATGAGCCAGAACTATGCCACTGTACTCCAGCCTGAATGGCAGAGCAAGACCTTGTCTCAGTTAACAGCAAAAAAAGATGTTAGAGCGCCGGGCGCGGTGGCTCAAACCTGTAATCCCAGCACTTTGGGAGGCCGAGGCGGGTGGATCACGAGGTCAAGAGATCGAGACCATCCTGGTCAACATGGTGAAACCCCGTCTCTACTAAAAGTGCAAAAAATTAGCTGGGCATGGTGGCACGTGCCTGTAATCCCAGCTACTCAGGAGGCTGAGGCAGGAGAATTGCCTGAACCCAGGAGGCGGAGGTTGCAGTGAGCCGAGATCGCACCATTGCACTCCAGCCTGGGTAACAAGGGCGAAACTCCGTCTCAAAAAAAAAAAAAAAAAAAAAAAAAAAAAAAAAAAGATATTAGAGTAATGGCTGGCTCTAATGAGAGTTTATCAGCCTAAGATGACCTTACACCGCTTTAATAGACATGTAGTATCCAGGAAGGGATTTACACTTCCTGCACCACACTACAGAAGGGAAGCAGGAGCAACTGGCATGCACCATGTGGAGTTCGGGCCAGACTGGGCAAGGAATTTGTCAACTCAGGAAGATTTAAACACCTGGGGTCTTTGAGCTCCCAGGGAAAGGCTTCCTGCTTGGGAACCTCAGGTAACGGTCTTCAAAAATTTGGAGGGCTCTATTGCCTGTCACTTAACAGTTCCTTGGTAATTATCTGTCAGATATTTTGTTCAGTGAAACTTTTTCTTCAAATATCACCAATGGGGAGTCAAAGCCAACAGGGAAAAGCTTCTAGCTCAGTAAAAGTTAAAGTTTTGGGGAATTGTCCTTCACCACTGAAAGAGAGTTGAGAACAGCACCGAA